TTACCTTAACTTCAAATCCTCTAAAATTTGTATGTAAATTATAGTCCAAACTCTAAATCTTATAATTTTTATTTTTTATTCTTAAATGCTTCTTTTGAAGTCACTGAAATCCTTATTATGGTTGCAGACAATCTATTGAATGTCCATTGGACATGGCCTTCAACCAATATAGATAAACATCTTTACTTTGAGCCTTCATCCATCCATACTTTACCTTCATTCTTCCAAATAAGCTTTCTAGAGGTTTGAATCTTCATCTTTAAATTCCAAGCTTTTCTTTAAATTTTATACTAAATATTTATATCTTATGTATTTTAAACATTAGAGATTTTAATTTCAAAATAAATTTTCTTAAATCAATTCTTTTTAAATTAATCTACTAACCACTCTAAAGTACATCAATACTTATAAATATATTATCTATTTTAATTAATTTTTACATACTATAAATAATTACAATATGACACCACTAAGTTCATTGGAACATGTCATTAACTTTTTTTGATTTTGTGATTACATATCAATTAAGAAAATAGCAAGGACTATTAGATGCTTTATCAAAGAAATCATATCTTACTCTAAAGACTTGAGAAGTAGCATTTGATTAATAATATATCACTCTCTTGAAGCAAGAACAATTTTTTCTTTATGCTATTTCTATGATTACACCTATTGATTCAAAAAAATTTGAATAAATTTGTATAGCATCACCTAAAGTCTCATTAATTTGTGATATCAAATAACATCTTGATAACAATAAGTTTAAGTTTGTAAAAGATCTTTTGTATTTTGAAGATCATTTATATATTTCAAAAAGTCCAACATGTCTTCAAGTTCTTTAACCTTAACTTGATTTCTTAGTTGTAGGATATTTTGAATTTACCAAAACATTAGAGCTTATATCTTGAAAATTTTGGTGGCTTTAAATGTAAAAGATCATAAAGCACTTTGTCCCCTTGTGTGACTTTCTTAATATCATCCTTATGGACTTTTATAGCCATTGCCAATTCTAAAGCAACTATGGTTTTTAATATCAATAGATTTGATCACTCATCTACTACCATTAGCTATATTTAATGCTATCTATATTATTATGGATTGACTTAAAAAAATTAGTACATTTTATTCTATAAAAAAAAATAAAAAATAAAAAATAAAAATGGAGAAGAAATGGCAAGGTTTTTTTTAATAATATATATTGATATCATAGCCTATCTAATAATATCATTTTTGATTGAAGACCTCAATTTATATCAAAATTTTGGAAATAATTTTTTGAAATATTAAAGGTAGATATTAAACTTTTGTTTGCCTTCTACCTTTAAATCGATGGTCAAATAAAACAAGTCAATCAAGGTTTGGAGCAGTATTTGTGATATACCATCAACTATCAATAAGATGATTGGACCTTATATTTATCTTTAGTAGAATTTGCTCATAATAATATTCTTTATATTTTGACTCAATGAACACTATTTTATATCAATTATGATTATCATCCAAAGCTTAATTTATTACATACATCAATAGATGAAAATCTAGCAATTGAAGATCTTGCAAAACAATTGCTACAACTCAAGACAACTTTGAAGCTCTATTTATTGATAGTTTAGGATTCTTACAAAACACCTTCAGAAAAATTTAAAAAAGAATCTTTTGCTTTTCAAGTTGGAGATAAAGTATGGCTTCTTTGTGAAAATATTAAGACCAATTGGCCTTGCAATAAGTTGAACTATCAATGACTAGGGCCATTTTGTATTCAAAAGAAAATTAATCTAATGGCTTATTGGTTAGAACTATCTATATCTATGAAGGTACATTCAATCTTTCATATTTCTCGCTTAGAGACTTATTTAGAATCACCTATTCTAAGAAGAATATAGCCATTATAACCTTGTATTGAAATAGATAATCATGTAAAATATGAGATAAAAAAGATCCTTGATTCTCGGTGAAGAAGAGGCAAGTTGGAGTATATTATTCATTGGCATGGCTACAATATCAATAGAACCTATAGTGATTTTAGGATTTTTTTACTAATTGGGAAGTCGGATTTAAAGATAGACTTATGAGAGGATTATTAATAATTAACTTTATGTGATTTAAAGGCATATTGAAGTTTTTAGGACTTTTCAAAATAAGAGATATATTCAATAGCTTTGAATGTTTAAAAATAAAATAAATTTTTTATTTAATTATGTATTATTATAGATAATATTATGTATAAAGAAATACATATAATACCATCAATCATATGACATAGTCACAAGTTTGTTCTATAATAATTGAGAATTTTGTGAGTGTCATAGTATATTTATGTGTGTAATTTTGTATGTTTGTCATTATATTTGTCTTAAATGTGTTTGTAAAATTTGATATTAATAAAATGGTTAAATTAACAGTTATGAGAGTTTTTATGGATTATAGTCTTGGATAATTGAAATTTAGGATTAATGAACATTTATGCAAATTTATAATATCTACTTGTTTGATTGAAGCAAAAATTGGTAACAGCTATTTGGACTTGAAATTCTACACATCAATCAATTTTTGAAGAAATTAAATGAGTCAACTAGGAGAAATTGCTTTTAGAATATCAATATGTGGATTGGAGAAGGAGGGCGGCCGACATTAGAGCTATTAAGGAGCTTTTACTTTTGAATTAGTGAATTGATTTTCTTCAAAATGTTTGTGTTTGTTAATTGCTTGTGGATTGAGATGTGAATAAAATTTTAGTTAAGATCAATGGTTCAATTAACATTTATTGAGGTTTTAAAAAAACTATAATAATTGATTATGATTTATTTAGGATTTTTTTAATATTATTTAAGATTTATTTAGAATTTGATTATGATTTAGAATTTGATTAAGATTTTATTAGGATTTCATCAAAATTTAGAATTTGGTTATAATTTCATTGAAATTTTATTAGAATTTGATTAGGATTTAATTAGAGTTTGGTCCAAGATTTGGTTAAGATTTGGTTAAGATTTGGTTAAGATTAGGATTTAGGATTTGATTAGAATTACATTAATATTTTATTAAGATTTATTTAGAATATTTATTTTTAATATTTTTAAGATTATTTTTATTTATTTAAGATTTTTTATTATTTTTCTTTGATATTAATTTATAACTTCTTTATATTTCTTTTGTAATTTCTTTTAAATTTCTTTTATATTGATTAAAGTTTGATTAAGATTGTTAAGGATTACTTAGAGTTTATTTGAGATTCTATTAGACTTGGTGGAATCTTGTTATTGCATTTACATTCCTCACTTAGGTGTCCGATGCATTCTCAAGCAAGAATTCACATTATACAACTTCAGTATGTATCTTAGATCTCATCTCCTTCTTTGTCTTCGTATGGATTTTAATCTTTTCTTCTCCTATTTATTAAATGTGCCTTTAAATTCTACCATCAAAACTTCTACATCTAATGTAGTAATTTTCATTACTATTACAAGCACCAATAAATTGAAATTGGAGAACATTACGATATTATATCCAAATTTCTACACTTATGGTCAAATAGTTGTTTAATGAATAAACTCTATAATATACACAATAAAATAGAATATAAGTGTGGTGCTACTTAAAGCAATATTTGCTCCTTTAGCAAGAAATCATCCATCAACTTATCAACTCATTACAACATCAACAACACCTAAGATAGTCATTTCTATTAGTATTAGAAACAATGTTGCTTAAGCTACAACTTGCATTATGGCTACAATGTTGTTCACTTCCATAGTCTTATTTCTAATAGATCTCTTATAATTGTAAGAATATTAATACAATTTTTTTATTGTATATAGTGTATAGTGATATCTCTATTTGTTGAGATGCAAAAAATTTATCTTCCAATAGTTGTACTCATCAACCATCTGCATTGCAATCAATAAGCCTTTAGTATCTTCATTCAATAAGCATTGAGGTATGTAATCCAAAATAGAACCAGGAAGATGGAGAGGAGAGGATTAGGACCAATATAAGGAGGAGGAGCTCAAGGACCTACACCATAACAAGGAAGAGAGATTTGGAGCAACCAATGAAAGGCTTTGGATGTGTGTACAAACATAATGGGTATATGTATAGCAATTTGGAATGTGCTTGTAGGTTGAGCCTAACTATATTACAACTTAGAGCCTAAGTATTTAGAGCTATCACACCTTATATCACACCTTAGACAAGGAGCCTACAATATCATGTACGAAGTTTACATTAAAGAGCAATTAATCTGCAAAGGTATTTAACCCCTCATGTGTCAAAAAAATAAATAAAAATAAATAAATAAAAACCCTGGTTTTCCTTTTCCCAGTTTCTAAGATTCCTACTGGTTCCCTTCTAAGATTTAGCCACTGAATTGGAGCAACAGAATACTCTGGAACCTGCGTTGCGATATCTAGCAGCCCACCAGTGACCACCAGATCGAGTGTGGGCTACGTTGAACTTGAGACAATCTTGCAAGATCTGACATGTGCTTCAGAGCGAGTTGACGAGGACCTTCGCTGGAGTGAAAAAGGAACATGTGACAAAACCCTTCAGTAATTGCGGCAGTTCTCACACCACTGCTTCAAAAGCTATTCATCTTCGAACAATACAGTCTGTTACCCGACAAGTCTAGGGTGCATTTGGCCTCCTCTGATAGTCCAAATCACTAAACAGTAGCATGACCTTACAGAGCTGAACCGCTGACAAAAACTGTAATAAAGAGATAAGAGCCTTGGGGAGATTGCCGCAAACGACAGTGCCATAAAATGATTGGTGCCAATCGCTCATTTTCCAGAACTCTAGTTTTAAGAGTTATGAGCTCCTATCTCTTTTATGGCACTGTCATGTGCGGCAATCTCTTTTGAAGATGCAGAAATGCATCTCCAATCTTTTAACACATATGTTCTAGATTCTACCCGTTTGAAAAGGTGCTCGACTCCATCCTGTGTTGCCAGGGATCGTTGTAATATTTCATAAAGACTTCACATACAACGTGACCTCATAAATCTGAGTGGAATCTGAAGACTCGACCAACGTTTGAATATCAATGAGGTCTCATTTAACCAAGAATATATGATAGAACAACGTGGATAGTTAAAAAGAATGCATGACATCTCACGCTTTCAGGCTGGATGAGACATCTGTGACAGGCATCTTCCTACCCTCGGGCTCCTGCAAATACTTTTGAAGATGCAGAAATGTCTCTAATCGTGAAACTACAGCTCTAGCATCTCCATCACCAGTTTTCTTGAGGTTTTCAATATATTCCGTGACAATTGCTTGCATAATCCTCATGAATGGCTTTGGATAGACTTGATAGAGCCTGAATCCTGCCATCTGCAACAATTACCAGGCACAATTCCAACACATATGTTATTGTTCGTGGCGATACAACAATAACCTACATAAATCGATCACACCTATTAAAATCCTATTTGAAAGAAACTAGATCATGGATCAAATGATTGTGCTATGGAAACCTAGAGACAATCAAATGAACCATACCTTCAAGAACGCCTCTAAAGCCGAGGCGGTATTCCGATCTGCCGGGATGCTATTTAAGAAACGTGCAACCCAAGCCCACCCAGCTGCTAATCCATGGGGATTTTTCCCTCCTGCCACATCAGTCTGTCAAGCGAAACAACTCAGAGTAGTACCAGCAGTCCTGAATGAGAACATTCGAATGAAATTGTTCTATACTTTCGACGCTTCAAATTAACTTAAAAAAATTACCACATTACAATATATGTGAAAGTCCCAATACCTGAATCATCGCGCCATAAAATGTCATGTATGCAGCCTGACGTGCGACATAATCATCGGTGCTTTCCAATTTCCCATCTTCTTCCCGATACCCTAGCGCTTTATAGTAAGCAGCATCATTTTCAAATTGATCCTACAAATTATGACCAGAACCAGTCACGAATCCAGTCAACTTGCAGAACTGTTGCAAAAAGTAAATCAACCACTATTACAAAAATAGAGAATCGTAGCGTACCTTTGTGAATACATAATACTTGGGGACAGTGAAGATACAAACTTCATGTAGCTTCGCAAGTACAATATCGATTAACAAGGGCACCTGACACAACAAAAATTCCATCATGTTAAAATCAAGAAACATTCTCTTGAGTAACAATGAAGACCCAAGCGGAGAATTTTGAGTACTTGTCAAGAAGTTCACAAGATAGTGAACAAGAGCTCGTTGTCTAGAAACCAAAAATATAACTTCAACAATAAATTCTTGAATACAAAAATAAGCAAATCAAAATCATCAAATCGGAATCAATGCATGAAAGGATTGAACAGGAGCTAGAATGATACCTGGGAGGCCACGTTAACAATGACCTGTGCCAATGCAAAGGCAAAGGAAGGTAGCTTCAAAATCTGCGACTCACACTGTGAAAGAAGCTGCCAAATCAAGCAACAATTGAAGAAATTAACGATTTGAGCACAACTAGGTCATAAGTACATTGCGACACTTAACCTATTGCATCCACAATTCATACGCAGTCGATTAATGAGAGGTTCAAAGACATTATGGCGTTCCAAAAGAAACCATGACGTTATAGGTGGAAATGCTTAGTTGCAAGATGGGATATGATGTGGCACCTTCGCACCCAGAGTAACAAGTAAAAACTGAGTAGGGACCCCCATGGAACTGTTGAGGAACTGCAGCAAGTCTCTTGACTTAATCCTGTAAAAGCATGAAGAAATGTTTCACAATTAATCACTTTACTTTCAAGTGCCTAGTAGAGAAGATGCCAGTGATCCATAAATTTCTTCATCTAATCACATTACACATCCCCCATCTCCCCAACTCCCAAATGAAATCCTTGAGGAAACCTCTAAATCATATCTTTAACCTCTAAATATTTCTATAACAATGATATTTTAACAATATCAGAATAAAAAAGTTAAAGAACAAAGTAACTCACCCCACTTGTTGTTGGGTGGCAGCAATCTGCTGTAAATGCTTGATAATTTGCCTCTCATAAGTCTTTAACTCCTGTAACTTTGCAATAGCAACATCAAACACTCCTATTCCAATCCCTGAAAACACAAACCCAATCATGGGTGGAACTGGAAAATCTACATCGAGCAACTATTCCGGAAACCCACCTTCTGTTGAACTGGATTAGTTCGTAGAGGTGCATATACAGCCTCATACGCACGCAGATTGATTAATCGAGACTCCTCTAATTTGGCTGCAGAAGGTGCCACTTTCGGCTTCAATCCTGAAGCAAAACTAACTCAATCAGAAGGTAATAGAGGACAGAGCTGAACAGAAAAAGATGAATTGAACCACATCTTAGGGAAAACCTGAAAAAAGTCATACTAAGACCTGTGGTTGCTTTCGAAGTAGACTCCTTCTGATCAGCATTTTCCTTGTGAGCATCCTTCTCCTTTGCACTCTGCTGCAAATTTTCCTTTGCTTTCTGATCCTCTTCACGCTTTAAAGCCGCCGCTGCTGCAGCATCTGCTTGAGCCTTCCTCTTGGCCGCTTCAGCTTCAGCCTTCTCTTTTGCTAGCTGAATTTTAGCTTTAGCTTGTCGTTCTCTCTCTTCTCGAGCGGCGATTTCTTGCCGACGAGCTTCTTCTTCGGCAGCTTCTTTTCTGATCTGGCGAGCTTCAAATTGTGACCGAAGTTCGTGATCCCTTTGAAGGGCGGATAGATGTTCATCTCGTAGCTCAGCACTGGAAAATAAATTTCAGATCATCTATACGAACATAAATAAGGCTTAATTGACACTAGAATGCAAAAAAGTCATTGAGTACGCAGGCACGACCAACCATCGTCCATCAGCAGACCATACTAATCGACACACTGTATAAAAGTACATGAACATAAGATGGCATCCTTGTTCAAAAAATAACAATTACCGTTTGAACAGGATTCAACATCATAGCTCGAGGATACAGAGGATAACGAACAGATTGGGACGAAGGACGAGCAATCGAAGTGGGACTATGTTCATTACTCGAGCAAGAATCAGATCACGTACATTTGTCTTTGATCTTGTTTATCCGAGCGCCTTGCCAACTCACACTTGGCTTCTTTTTCTTTCTCAACACGCGCAAGTAAGGCTGCCTCTCTTTGCACTTCCTCTCTCAAGGCATTATCAAGAAGCAGCCGCCTCTTTCGAAATTCCTCCTGAAAATTTTCCAGTAGCGATTTGATAACGAGATCAAGGAATTAACTCAGCTAAAATCTACCTTCCAATTATGCTTGAAATGGCTTACACAGCGACATCCTCACTTTTGGAGATTGATTAAACATGTACATGAGCTATTGCAGAACCATTTCTTGTGTTCTAAGGCATCAAAAGCTCAAAAATGTTTGAAAGGCTTACCTGTACCCTACTATGGCGTTCTCGTTCCAGCTCTAAGAGAGCGGATTCCACATATCCAGTTCGTGCAAGAAGTGGACTACTCTCCCGCACGTCATCCTTGACTACTACAAGCAATTCTTCCGAACCCCTGAGATAAGGTCAGTTCCCAGCAACATATGAGCGAAGTGTTCAATTCAAAAGCCTAAACCCTCAACCTCCACATGACGACGCATGCTATTTCGTGGACTCATATCTCCCATATCCGCAACAAGATTTCTAGACCATGCATAATGGTTGATACAAGCGCAAAGAAGACATGTCAAACATTAACTTCAGAGTACACGCATAGGCTCTTACTTCGAATTAGCGTGCCGAATATGATCATCCTTTCCAACGCCTACACCATTGACGCGGTTGGATGAAGCTGGCGCAGGAGAATTGAGCTCATCGTCACTGGACTCAGTCTCAGAATCACTGTCAAATGCTCGCATCCTAAATGGCGCATTTGTTCTGCCAAAATCAGCTGTAACAGACAATTCTCGCCACGATATCCTGCAAGAACATCTCGTAAAAAAATTCCAGTAAGCCTCAAAACACTACAAATTGCAACCCTAGCCTTCAACCACTCTCAAAACTAGTGTCCAGTGCACTGCCTAAACATGGCTGAAGATATAGGTCAATTCAATATGGTACAGTCTCCACTACTGCGAATTATGGCAACAAAAATGGCTTCCGACTACAATAATGTCATGCACTCACCCTTTTGCAGTCGAAGGAGGAGGCTCATTGTCTAAAGCCACAGTAGAAGTGTAGCGAGTGGAAATCACATCCAGCTCCGATTGCAAATCCTGCAAAGTCCAATCCGGACTAGGATCCACGAATTTTTCAACGACAGACACAACTTTAGATTTGTAGGGACTCTTGAGAATAAGCTGCAAACGACCTCCAGGACTGACGCCAGGGCTCACTCCGGGACTCTCTGGAGCTGGTGTTGCTCTGGAAGCATAAGGAGGCGACCGATGTGATGACAAGCCATTAGGAGAACCGGACGAGGAAAACATTGCGAATGCGGTCAATTCAAATCCCGCTAACGCCTCATGTCGAAGCAGATTTGTAAACCTCAAACTACATACAATCAAACTGTACGATGTCGGGCCATTTAAAATCGCTCTTGAAAGTTAGCTGCCGCGATAATTTCAGAGAGAACAATCCTGAGGAGGTAAAGAACAGCGTAGTGGGCAAATTGCGAGCAATCGTGGGCAGAAAATGTGATGCCAGTCTAGTTGCGAATGAATCCGATAAACCCTAAAACAGGGGACCGAGAGACTGAAGGTTTTTTTTTGCAGCGAATTGATCCCGGGGGTTCTGTCATGCACGCCTGCTAAACACCGTTTGGAGGGGGGAATCCCAGTCCTGTTACCGCCAACCTTCACATTCAGTTCAAACATAATGTCGCAGGTTCTATGCAGTAAAGAATCAGATTTAATAAATGAAAATTGTATTATCCTTACGTCATCCTAAACAACCAAAATGATTCTGAATTATACATCTGTATATTTTTAAACATTTCTGAAATTTAAATAATGTGGCATGAAAGTGTAAATATAAATCTAGTAGCTTACGTTGTATAATTTTAGAATGAATAAAAAAATTGGTATGTGTCCTAAGGATTTTTTTAATCTCAATTGTAATAATATTGGTAGTCTAAGTTTGTTAGGTTTATTGCTATAAGTTTATTGCATTATTAAATTTTAACACATGATATAAACAAAATACTTTTGGACAATACACAAGATTTTGAACCATTTAAATATGTGTATATTTTTTAAAACAAACATGCTAAAATAATTACATGGTAACAATATTAGAGCATCATAATAATTTTTACATATTTTATATTAATATATTTTAATTTTTTATTTTAACTCATATATTTTGCATTTATTTATTTATTCAAAAAGTGTATTTTTAATTATTAATTATTAATTAAAATAATTAAATATATGCAAAAAAATAAAAATTAATATATGTATGTGGATATATATATATATATATATATTTCTTACCACATCTTAAATAACTTCAATAAAATACAATCTTTTCTATTAGTATATAAAAAGTATATAACAATTTTCTTTGCAAGAATAATTCATTATTTTATCCTTAGAATTGCAATTTTAGACAAAATATTGTTTTAAAATTAAAATAAGAGATGTTTATTTACATGTATTTTATGGCTATCTATGTATCTATATTACTTACGCTTTAGGAATTGTGAGCAAACACGAGACAGAACTTGGTGGCAGCCACAACCAACAACATGCAATGATTCCTAATTGAGCTATTTTATTACGAAGTTTTGAAATTACATAGCCTTTGGCCCAATACTATTCTATTGTTTGATAACATTATACTCCATTCTACTAATTTTCAACTACCATGATAGTACTACTCTAATCTTTTAATACTCAGCCTCCCTAGTCCATACTTGAGAGGTGCTTCTGTATTTTGTAGTGGCAATGTCAATGCTACTCTTATCTTCTCATTTGTTGTCTTGACCTTGTGCCATTTAATCACTTTGGCGGATATCAAATTGCTTTGACATGTAATTGCTTGCTCAGGTGGATAACAATCTATGCATTTAAAAATTATATAAAAATGTGTAGTTTAAAATTGTATCATTTAAAAATTTTCTTATTCTATTGGTTGGGCTAAATTAGGTTACTAGAATGGTATATTGGGAGCAAGGACAAAAAAAGTAACTTTCAAAAATACAATATTTGTACCATCATACTTCATAATGGAGTAGTTGATGGTTTGGTATTATTCTTCACTAAAGGCAACAAAGACAATGTTAAAAAAATTAAAAAAATAATTTTACACTTTATATGTGACTATGAAACAAAGATAAAAATAAATAAATAAATAAATAAAATGAAATAAATACACATACGATAAAAATACAATAAGGTAGTTTATAAGATTGTTTCTTACATCTAATGTAACACCCAAAAATGTTTTATTCTCTATGCCATGCAATATTCTTACTACCAAAAGTTAATATTAATATCTTATAATAAATTTTAAATAGATCCATCCAAAAATTCTATGAACATGACCTCATCCTTACGTGAATTCAAAGTTTAATATTTATAATATCTTCATGCCATACCAACAATTGATTATCAATTAATGAACTTTCACCATTTCTTTTATTACAACTCTCTCTACCTTAATTGTTTGGAACCTTAAAAATTATTGTTACATATTTCAATCATCAAGCAATTGCATTGTTTTCAATGACACACTCATCAAATTTATTGTATTAGTTGCAATAGACATTATTCATATCAACTCAAATTATTGGCAAATTATAATGCAAATTTTGGTAAAAAAAACTTAGAGAATTTATTGAGTGCAATAATAAAAAAAAAAATCATGCTATTCTACCAAATTTATAGGCACCACAATAGGATTTTTATTTAATTTAGTATTTTGATACTACCAAATGGATCCAGCAAATTACACCTTAATGACTTGTTTTAAAGAAAAACATAAACCCTACATGCTAGTTATATTTGAAAACTACATCATTATCGAAAAATCCTATTGATTAAATTTTTTTTTATCATTCCTTGTACACAATTTTCACTGTCTTTCGGGTTTTCCCTCCGTCTCAAAGAGTAACAAGCGGGAAAACACAAGAGGAAAAGCAAGAACAGGATAGAACAACACAACACACTACTACAAAAATGAAGAGAGCAAGCACAATGCAAATCAAATGAACACCAGTAGAAAGAAATAAAAAAGAAAAACACATCAAGATATAACTCCATAAAAATTGAAGACGGGCAAAGAGGCTGGGCAGCATCACAAGTCAGCAATAATGGGGGCAGACAAGCAGGAGGCGAACGATAAGAGTGAGGACGAGGACTGGGAAGGACTGCTCAAAAATATGTATATTCATTCAATTAGGACCGAGCCTCCCCCTCTGCCCCAGTCCTAAAGAGTGATCGTTTATTCATCCATCCATATAGATGAAACTTATAGATGTCAGTGTGTCTGTCCACGTTGTACATTCATCTTAAAATATGTTTAATCCAAAAAACAAACGCGTTCATCCAGATTGGGGACGTTTGTTCATCCCCTGGGGGGACATGGCGGGAGAGGAGGTCCCGTCCGTCCGTCATATCGGGGTGGAGCGTAGGTAAGAGGATGGATGCCGAACAGAGCGGGTACCATTTGGTGCTAGTTGCGGGGAGGCGAGAGCGTAGCAGCCATCACGGCAAAGAGTGAAGCCTGCGTTGCTTGGTAGGTAATCGTTCCGGCCAGGGATCGGAAGGAAGAGATGACCTTAGACGAGTTACAATCACAGTCCCAGTCCCCGGCTCCGTCCCCGTCCCCATCCTCCAGCAGTGATGATTTTGCCGCTTTGCTTGACGCTGAGCTCCTTGGAGACAGACAATTAAGCGCTGAGCTGCTGAAGAATGGGGATTTGGTCCTGCCGGAACAGGACGATGGTGACAACTCTTCTGATTTAGAGGAGGGTACTAGTGAAAATGGCAGTGTAGAAGAGGACGCGGATTCTGTTGTTGAAAGCGAGGACCATGCTGATGACAATCACCTGGATGTCGAAAGTGATATGCTTGCACCGGAGGGATTAAGGTGCATTTGTAATTTGACACCCAGTGATAAAGAGTTTTTTTAGGTTATGAAATAATAATGGGACATGTGGCATGTGTTTATTTACTTACACAAGAATCGACTTATAATCTTTGAGAGCTGATTTGTTGTGTGAACTTTTGAACCGTGACGATACCAACATTTGGCATTGTGAATTGAACTTTTTGGTGGAAATCTGCTGTTTCGTTCATGTAGCCCAATTTCACGCATAATATGTCCCCTCCAGTTCTGGTAAGCAGTTGAGGTGTGTCGGGTTTTCACTGATGTATTCCTGTATCTTCTGAAATTGTGCGATGTTCAGCTCCGACGATAATCGGAAAAGGAGACGCGGAGCCGAAGCTGAATTACCCGCTGGTTTAGAGTTGCCAAGTGCTCCAGGTATTTTTGTCACATCTTTGAAGGTATTTCTTGAACGAAATGGTAGCGACAGCCTTTTTATCAGCCAAGGATCCTGTTGCTCTTGATATTTTCTCTGAACTGCGCATAAGATGGGAGCAATTCGTCTTCTCGTTTCTTAGATAGTATAACACTTGCATTGTCTTTTTTCTGATTTAATATGCTATGTCAAATGCAGATTTATAGAAGTTGCTGAAAGTTCTGACGATATTACTCCTATTTGTGTTAATTACTCAGGAGAAATGGTGAACAGTAATAAATGCCCGCCACACCCAGGGTTTATATGGGATGTTTGCATTCGATGTGGGAAGAGAAAATCTACAGCACCAAGTAATGATCCGGTCATAGATCGAGTAGGGCTTCGATATATCCACGAGGTATGACTACCGTCATTATTCCTCATCAACCCATCCGTCATCATCATGTTTAAATATGTGTTATTGATTAATTTGAACCAGTTCATTTTTAGAGTAAATGAGATAAAGAAAGAGAGATGGACGAAAAGCTAGAATAAGAGATTGAAACTTATACTAAGAAGAAAAAAGATGCAAAGCATGGAGATTAATAAAATAAAGGACGCCAAAAATAAGATCATACGACCCTCGCGTGCGTATGAGGTGCATGAAATGCTTACGACAATGAAGGGTTTTGTTTGAGCTGCACAGAATTGTCTAATTTATTCTATTTGGAAATGCTGATTTCGTAATGCGTCCCCCCCCCCAATTTTCAGCTTTGTCTATTATAATTATACCTTTCTTACTTGTCTTGTACGAAATCGATTTGTGTTATACTGAGAAGTCATAGGGTCCTCGGCTTGTGCTTTAGGGCTTGGAAGTTTCAGAACTGGAAGCAGCACGAGTGCGCAACGCTGAGCTCAGGCGGGTCACTGGGAAACAGAAATTACTGCTTGTTGTCGATTTGGATCATACGATGCTCAATTCCGCGCGTTTTTCAGAAGTACCTGCAGAGGAAAGAATTTACTTGTCAACAACTTACCTTCGGCCCAATTCAACCAATTGCAGTGCAGCTACTGTTGGTATGGAACTCAATCGTTGGTACCCTATGTCCGTATTTATGTTCATATCTCGTTGGTTAGCATGTCGTCAGAATCAAAAGGTCTATTAGGGTTGTAATTCTATTTTCAGTTACACGTGAAATTTCTTAATGAAAGTTCTTGGACTCGCTGATATGAATCCTCGCAGGACATGGACTGCAGGTCAGCAGCATGGCAGAGTAAGCAGTTTACATCAGTTGACTAAGTTAGGGATGTGGACAAAGTTGAGGCCATTTGCTCATAAATTTTTGGAGGAGGCTAGCAAGTTGTACGAGATGTATGTTTACACTATGGGTGAGAAGATATATGCACAGGCTATGGCAGAATTACTGGATCCCACTGGTCAACTCTTTGGAGGTCGTATTATTTCGCAAACTGATAGTACCAAGCGACACACCAAAGATCTTGATGTCGTTCTTGGCGCAGAGTCAGCAGTCGTGATTCTTGACGACACAGAAGCGGTAAAGTGACACCTTATCGAAACTTATAATTTCTAATTAATAGCAATTCTTATGAGGTGATCATTTTTTGGTGTATTTTTGGTAGCCTATATTGTATAAACTTGTACAGAGATTAGGAGATGACATATTTGTTTTTTGTTTCTTGTTTTGTAGGTATGGCCAAACCACAGGTCAAATTTGATCTTGATGGAACGGTACCATTTTTTCACGTCAAGTTGCCACCAGTTTCGTGTCAGGGCGCCTTCTTTGGCGCAAATGCACAGAGATGAATGCGAAATCGATGGCACTCTTGCAACTACTCTAAAAACATTGCAAGCCATTCATCACGAGTTCTTCAATGGACATAAGGGAAAGGTAAGAAACGCAGTTTAATTTTATTGCTCTTAGTTGCTGAGGAATGCTGGATTTGACCTTGGATTCAAGGCTGTAGCCGGAATTTTGTCCATGAATTTGGAAATCGAGTTTGGATACTTTTGTGTCACGAATAAAGCAACTTCTTCAGCGGAGAATAACATGGCTCTCTACGTGTATTCACTCGCTTAACGTAATCATCCTCATGTATTTTCATACTGTTGGCGTATACAACGGGGACAGTTTGTGCTACTTTTGAGGGATAGTCATCATATCTTTTACAAGTATAAATGATGGAATCTTTGATGGCAGTTCATTCAAGAACCACGACAATGTTGATGCTAAATTTTCATGTTGTTGAGCTTACAAATTTGTTGATGGAATCAGGAGCATGAGTGAGTCTTAGTGTTGGTAGAACTTGGTTTTGTGTTTGAGAATTGAGTTGGATCATGCAGAGTATGAAGCGGAGGCCCCCATTGGAATTGCCGGATGTTCGAGATGTACTTCTTTTGACCATCTGTTAAGCTCGTTAAAGTTGATAGCGTTTACTAGTAGCAGTGATTAGCTTTGCTACAGTTTTGTGAGGCAGCAACTGTTATGACCATTAGAATCTCCACAGTTATACTTCATGTTGTTGATCTTACAGATTCTCGAAGATACTATTACGAACTAGAATATGAGAGTAGTGCTTGAAATCTACCTATCTTGATAATATTTGTGTATTTGATTTGAACATCATGACGTTTGATTTTCCATGTTTATTGAGACAAGTCTAACTGTTGTGGGATTGTGCTATCAGGTCATTCGTTCAATTCGTGGTAAATTACTCTCAGGTTGCCACATTGTATTTAGTAGGATCTTCCCCACAGGACTTCAAAATCCCGAGTTTCATCCATTCTGGCAGTTAGCGGTGGAGTTAGGTGCTCGGTGCAGCACGGTGTGTGACCACACAACCACACATGTGGTTGCTTTAGACCGAGGAACAGACAAAGCTCGGTGGGCAAAGCAGCATGGGATTTCTCTAGTTCACCCCAGATGGGTCGAAGCGGCATCATATTTATGGAAGCGTCCTCGTGAGAAAGATTTTCCTGTTACTGATGATGCTTCAGCACTAATCTCGACAACATTTTCAAAAAACATTTCGGTGGAGCCTATATCGATAGAAGCCAATTATGCTGAGGTGGAATTAGCGAATGCTATGGATGCCGACAAGAAAAAGATAGTGTCTACGATTGAAAAGCGAAGTCAAGATTTTGGACCCATCCCTCCCGATTCTGCAGTTGAGGGGAGCTGAATTGCCTGTAGTACATGTAACTGGATCAAGGATCACCTTTCTAAGTCATATGATGATTTTAACCTTCGAGTTGACGACGTTTTAGAAGATAATTCAGGCATGGTCCTCACAAAGCGACTCAGTGTTGCAGAAGCTGTCGCGATCGAGGAACAGAAGCAGCAAGCTTAAGTTGTAGAAAACAGGTAATTTCTCATCTGCCATTTCTGCCATAATTGGGAACGTGTTTTCATCATACTTTCGGAGTAAATGGAAGTCATTTGAATTGTATGATTTAGTCGCTGACAACCCGGTTATAATATGCAGAGATTAATGGTTGTATGATTTATGCCAATCCTTGGCGGCTGTTCAGGTTCAATTGCAACACCACCATCCAAAAATCTCTAGGCTTTCCCATTCCATCACATGGACGTGTGAAATGACATTGCTGTACATAGTTTGACTAAATTGGCTTTTGGCCATTTTCGGATTTTACACGTCTTTCAACTCATGCTAGCAAAGGAATGCATATTTTTGTAGGTAATGCTGGAATATTAGTGGGGAGTACATTTAAACTTTTATTGACAGCTCTTTTAACGTGCCAGTTAAAAGATGAGAAGTGTTGAGACCTGTGCTCCATTATTTTGATTATGATATTTGAAAACATATTTATACTCCTATGCACATTGCAATGTCTTACAGACTGTTCTCTGGGGTGCACTGTGTCAAATTCAGTCTATTTTTGGTTTTGAAACTTGATAGCTTGAAACTTGGTCAGACTCTATCATTAGTCCCTCTGGCGTCTCTACCATATCACTACAGTCTAGTTTATATTTGGATGGTGTAGTTTGCTATCCTGAACATAGGATGTTAGATATTAACTTCAACACAAAAAGCAATCTTGGTGCGTCATATGTGAAACTGAATCAATTAGTGTGTAACCCAAACTTCTAAACTATTTTTCGCTTAAGCACAGATTTCACCTGCACAACAAGAGTAAAATGGTACAACTACCTTACTAATTCAAACACTTTTTTGCAACGCAAAACATGTATTTTTAAAATTAATACATTAAGGCAAATAATTACTTTCCGAACAAGTTCCGTGACGATGCGCATGGTCAAAACAGGTGGTGAATAATTTGTGACAGCAAAAGATTGGCGGCGTCATGACGGTCATGATTGGATCGATTGTCGGTGCCACTACGCTGCAAGTTGACTTAGCAAAACCGGTAATAGCCGGTCTCTCAACGAGGAAATCCTCGTCAACGAATTCTGATACAGTCGCCGAAATGTGGACGAATTAAGCTGACGACGAGGCGGAATGAGCCTGGTCAGGAACGAATCCCCCCACCCCTTCCAATCAGTGGAATCTGGTCTTCGGCGATGCGGTGATCCGATAATTTTTGCTCAATCGTGGCACTTCCTGGTTTCGCAACTACCTGGATCAACCCATGGACTCCTGAATTTCGTCTTATCGTGCTGTGTGGACTGAAATGTTGGCTATGTACTACTATAGAGTTTGGCTTCCTCCCCTATTTCTGTGCTCTGCTTGCAGAGTGTCGGGATTGAAGCTGTTTGACGAGTTAAGGTAATGATCTAGCAGTGGTTGTGGTATCAGTTTGTACCTACTGAGCTTTGGCGGAGGATTGAAGTGGCCAGGTTCCACAGTCTCGTGTCTCGGAGAGGCTTGCGATGGTCGAGGTTTGGGATTCGACGCAAAATCTGGCATGTGAGTTTCGGGTTGATCTGCTCGGTTCCATGTTCGCAGCGTGCTTGTGAAATTGTTGTTGTTGCACAGGCATGTGTTAAGAGGGTGCCGTTGATTTTATGATGATGTGTTACAATAATGTGGAAGTCACTCAGTGTCTAGATGGGTTCTTACAACTCTAGTTTGTATTGCAATCGTAACGTCCCGGTTACGATATTTGACCGTGAGGGATTTGCTGGACTCATGTAGCGTGGGAGTTGGTCATGGAGGATCCGTTTGTTTTATGTCATTCATGTGGGAAAAGTGATACTCTACGAATGTTTTGGTTTTGGTTGTCGGTAGGTGTTTTCTTTATCAGGCCGGAGCGATTGGCGTGCTCAGGGAAGGCTGAATTTAACTTAGCAGATAAAGTTTCTTGTGATCTGAACGTGTCGGATTTTCTTCGTGTTTGCGTTTACATTGCTATCTGAGACTGTTTGGCATTGCTAACATTAACATGACCTTTTAAGGTGTTGCCATTAGATTATTCGCGTGCTGTCCTCGCTTGTAGATGCGGCTATGGCTTTATGTAGACCCTGTTCCTATAAGGCGGGGAATTTGGAAGTCTTTTTTTCCTGTTGTTGGTTGGATGATCAATCTAATCAATTCCTGGGACACTGGTTTTGTTTTGCAGAGATTGTTCTCCATTGTTATACCTTTATATGCAGCCTTGATTTAAATTTGTGAAGTCTGGTTTTATTCACTGAATACGCCGGTATCATATGAAGGGATGATGCACTTGAGATTTCAATCATTATTTCAGTTTGCGTTGAATAGCACCATCGTGTCTAACAGGCCAAGTGCATTAAGGTACAGTGTTTGTTTAGCCATATCTCGCCTCTGTTCAATTCCGTTCTAGAACGTCCTTCTTAAAGCATTGTAGTACTTATTTCCTAATTGATATAGGCGTGTGAAGGAGGAAATTAAACATCGGTATTTACTGTCATGCCATTCGAATTAGTTGAGAGCATATCCTACAGAAATCACTGTTAATTCTAGAAGTGAGCAGGGTTCTTGGGCTAGTAACTCTATTCGAGCGTACGTATTAATGGACAAGCACAAGTGCCTGATTTGGAAGAGTTTGGATTTTGATTAGCACCTATCCGGAATTGTTTTTCATTTGTCGTCAAATTCCTTTGATTGGAATCTCGTCTGATACCCGACTTACAGGTTACCTCTACCTGTGTTCTTTTTCTGCAGTGGTTTAGCGGCAGAGCTTTGTATGGGGCTCCCCATAACTGAATAGGGCATCTTGATGTAAAACTCAAAGTGCAAGTATTGCGCCATGTACAGACTTGTTCTGGCGAATACGTCGAACTAACCATAACCTGGAGGAGTGGTTTGCCATCTACAGAGTGGCTTTAGAGTTGAAGAAATTCTCGGCTCAGGATGGCGAAAAGTGTGAAGAAACTGCAGGAAATCATAAATGGCTGTGAGTGAATGCTTCTTGAAATTTTACTTGCTGGGTTGTGTTCCTTTCGATTCTTTTGTGTGGAGGCGTTAGATTTGCTCAAACTAGAATTCCTTTCTTAGGACCGGCTATACTGTTCTGCTTTTTGGTTTTACTACTCCTTGGGATCCGGTTGATGGACTTTCTATTTGTTTTCTGCATGTGATGGCTGACTTCATTAGTGGACGAACCTCTCCGTCAGAGCTTTCAGGTATATTTGAAAATCCAGCTGTTTTCAAGCTAGTAAATATCTGTTCTTGTGTGCGACCAGGCCACTAACTGCCTTCTAAAGAACGCAATGTTGCTCATTAGTTGTAATTCTGTTGCAGAATGTGCATGCTGGTTATCCAGAAGCTACCTTGGAGCGATTCCTGAATGCAAGAGATGGGGATGTATCGAAGGCAAGTAAAATGGTGAGTACGTCGTGAATGCTCTGTTTTAAACTAGCTCCTCCTTTATTGTTGATTTCATTTGAATCTGAGAATGTTAATTCGCAAATCACATTGTCATTGTATTTTTGCAGCTTATAGACTGCCTAAGTTGGAGAGTCAACAACCACATTGATTATATCCTGGAGTTAAGATCCTTGTTGGTGCTGTACCTTTACGAATGTAGGTGATTAACTTCGATTTTAGTTCATTAACTTTTACTCAACTGTATACATTAAATCCTTCTTAGTGTTTTTCATTCAAATTTGTGCTTTGATATTTATTTATTTATTTTCAAATTGCTTTACTGTTGGCTTCAAGTGATTATCGTGTTGTTGCATAACGCAGAAACCAATCTTGCCGAAAGAAAAATTCGATGCCATACGCCGGAGTCAGTTGATTGGATTCTGTGGCTATTGCAAACAGGCAGGCGTCTTCAGTTTCTTCAAGATCCATTCCTCCTCCTCCTATGAACCTCCTACATGCTTTAGTTGAGAAGTTGGAAGTGCTCCTTCTAGCTGAGGTTTAGTTTAGATGGTTTTCGGAACTTGGTCTAACGAAATAACAGCTCCAAGGTCATTCCTTTTGTAACCTGATCTTTCCGGTACATCAAGTGTTTTCCGAGAGCACGCTTTGAGGTTCTATCCATTGTATGTTTTCTTCAACGGAAAGAGTTGGGCTTGTTTGCAACAATGTGCGAATATTAGTACTTCAGTTTTAAATGAATAACGGTGTCCTCTCTTCTATATTTTTTAACGCGGGTACAATCCCGAAGTTGTACGGCGTTAACAACAACGAGGTATCATGTTAACGTATGATTTTGTATGTTTGTTTGTGGTAGTTTACGGATTTTCAGACATTTGTGCCACGTAGTTGACTATACTCTTTTGTGCTCAGGGGCGGCCTGTGTTTGCCATTGGAGTGGGCAACAGTACTTATGACCTAGCTTCCGTAAGTGCTCGTTTCATCTAGTGTTTTTAAATTCAAGTAATTGGTTCTGAGTTTCGAAGTTGAATGTTTACCCATGGTGTTATGCTTCTTCTGTTTTTTTCTTATGCAGGTTGAAAGTTATGTTCAATCACACATACAGATCAACGAGTACAGGGACAGAATAATTCTGGTAATACTTGTCTACTGTGTTGGTGTAATCATGTTGTGCACACATGTTCTTTGTCTACGCTTGTTTTCACATGTTTACACTTGTTCATTAAAAATGCTAAGCCCAGTTAATGTCTGACTGTGACTACACAGCCTAATATTAGTAACAAGAAGGTGCGACATGTGAGATCTTGTGTAAAGATCATGGATATGACGGGGCTTAAACTTTCTGCTTTCAGCAGACTAAAAACTTCGATAGCTATCGCTACCGTCGATGACCTGAATTATCCCGAGAAAACTGACACATACTACATCGTGAATGCACCGTATGTGTTTTCTGCCTGCTGGAAGGTACGCTTCTTTTGTTTGAAATAGGGACTGATGCGTTTCATATTGATGACGATTTATACGATCGTTCGCGCTCTTTAGGATAAGACCCTGCTGCTATAATCATAAGCCTCAAACTTCATGTGTGTCTGAGCAGGCAGTAAAGCCTATGTTGCAAGAAAGGACAAAGCGCAAAGTGCAAGTTCTGAAGGGCAATGGGCAGGATGAGCTACTTCAGGTGAGTTGTGCCTAATGACCTCTTCAGGTGTAGGCTGTTAAAATTGTTATTTCGATACAAATAACCGCAAGATCACTTCAGGAAAATCACGAGGATCATTTTATGGTGTACTTGGTAACCCGATGGTTATGCTCTTAGGTGATGGACTATGCCACACTACCCTCTTTCTGCAAGACTATTAGTGATTCATCCAACAACGATGTCTTCGCGCCCAACCACAAGTTCCATGTAGAGCTGTATAATTACATTCAAAATAAGGCGGTTTTTTCTGGCAAAAACTTCAACAGCCTTACTTCTGAGGGATCTTTACACATTCAAGTTCCAACTTTGGAGGAGCAGGATCCGCACTCAGAAACAGTTGAAGTTGTTCATGCGATTGAATCCGTTTTGCCTTCTCTAGAGGCTGTTGAGAATGCCTCCGAACAGAACCAGAGGGGTAAGATAACCACAAAGATGGCTGGTATACAAATTAGTACATAACCAATCATCATACTGGCCGGTTCACTAGAAGCTCCCTCTTTGGCTTGTCACAATTCTGTTTGCCGATGTAGTGTGCAGTGCTAGTGTGCAGTGCAAGTGCAGCGAGATTTCTGAACTGAAGGTTGTACACAACCGTATGTTAGGCCTAGTTATTTTTGTTCATTCTTCATTGCACTAAGTCATTCATATAATTAGAACTTTTGCAGTTTGAGAGAGATAACATTCATGATTCTTTAATGCCACTTGCTGTCAAGGTAGAAAAAATTAAAACGTAATTCGTTTCAGTAGAAGACCTTCCTTCGGTTTGTCTGGCTGGTTCTAGCGATGTATTTTATAAGAAGACGGCTGTGACCAGTGAAAGGTGTAGGGATCGTAGATTTGCTTCCTTATTGTGAACGTGTTCACACGTTTTCATGAAGTTCCTTATGAAGCTTCTTCCAAATGGATGAATACTGCACGCAGAACTTTACTTATTTCAATTACTAAAGCTACATAAAAGTCACCATCCCCTGGAACCTAACCTACTATTGTGGACGACACTTCAGGTGCCATTTGACATGTTGCCTCGTTGGAAGAAGAGAGGAACTCGTGATTTATGAATCGGTTCAGTACAACTTCCAAGCATGATTTGTTGTCTGTATGATGGTACTCGATGGGAAACATAAAATATACCCAAATAAGCAGTAATAATATATATTATACTCTGTAGCCGAATGACTTTTCACTGATCAACAAACCTGCCCTTCAGTTGTTTCTTTGGGACATTATTATTTTCCGTTTTTTCAGGTGCTAACGTTAATGATGTGAAAAAAGAGCCTCAGTTGAATTCATGAAACAGTACACAACCCCAATTTATTTTACTGTAGCTTAGATTGTGGATATAATCAAATAGACCTACAACACGTCCTAAGGCACATTTTGTTGAATACAATAAAAATCTCACTCATTGCGCAGTGTTGGGTATGCCCATGGGCAACAGCATCCGCAGTAAATGCGTGCCACAAAAATTCCGGACAGTTGGACATGGCAAGACGAAAACAATTTGTAACTACTAATTAACATCTTCATTCCCAATTCTCTGTAAATTAAACAGGAAGGTTCCCGTCACAATTGATCATAAGTTAGACGAATTAAATAACATTCTTGGACTGTTCGCTACAACAAAACAATAGTTTGAATCAGTCTTGATCTGCTACCATCGTAAACTTGTATACACGAGGCTTAAAATATCACGTTCATAAATGTCTAATGCAAAAATCAAACACCAACTGTGGCGGCTTGTCTTGCACAAGACCTTGCCAGAAAACGGTTGATAATCTCAGAGTCAAGCGGGCGAACAGCAACTTGAATATCGGCAGGGAGCTTGGCTTGCATGTTTTGGCTGGTCATGTTGATAGGTTCACTAAGACTGTTGCGACCAGTTCCTCCTAGAGAAGCGTAGGTTGCAATGTCACCATCGTTGGTTAATCCAGTTCTCTTGATTTGGTCATACGCCCTCGTCACCTAAACAGATACAAAAGCGTTCATCAATATGAAAAACTAAATTACCATGTGCGTATACTGAACTAAGTACTCCCCATTTGCTAAGGTAAATCAAATCAATTCTTTAAGAATGCCTGCAATCATTGAAATTTACAGCAACCCACAAGTGATCGACAACTAACAGTTGCTCAATGGGTAGACATCTAGCACTGTATGAACCACGTCAATGAAGGTTTGATGCATAGTTAAGTAAACGAGCATTTTGATCAACTTATTGCAGTGAAAAATGTCCGAATATTCGATGGAGAATCATACCCTCTTAAATTCTTCTTCCGCCGTTTCTTGTTCTCCAGCGGCTTGCCTGTCAGGATGAAACTTCGCGGCCAAAGTTCTATATGCAGTACGAACCTGCCAAAGGAAGATGCTGAGAGATAATGTCGTATTTCAAAAGATATAGAAGTTTGAGCTTTTAGAGAGAATGCAGCACTGCATCGAGCATTACCTGAAATTACACCTTTCAAATATATCGATATATAATAATTAGCGAATCTTTACCTGTGAGGTGGAAGCTCCTTTGGCAAGCCCAAGCACTGAGTATGGGCACTCGGCATTCGTCAAAGGTTGTGACGAGCTCCCAGTTCCCAAGACAAATTCATAAAATGCCTCCGCAGGTTCATACGCATATTCTAGGCTGCATCCAAAAACATCACTTCTGTAAGCACCAAAAAATTCACAAAGGTTCACACAGACTAACATGAGACTATGAACCCATTAACATATAGACTACAACAGGAACGCATTAGCTAGAGCAAATCCCAAATGTTGAGCAAATGCTCTGAACCTAATAATAAAAGATCAACGAAGAATTGGAAGCCAACTCACTTGTTTCTGGGAATAGTACGCAACGAAGGGGCTCCCTTTCCAGCACATTCGGCGACTTCTCTGAGAGAACGACAAAAAGCCACTGAACTTGAGATACATGAGTGGGAGATCTCTATATCCTTATGACATGGATTATTCAGTCCGAAAAAACAACGGCATGCATGTTATCTTCTCATTTACAGAGTAACACGCACAACCTGAATTATAACCTCCGTTTGCAAAAATGATGACAAGATCATCAGCTCATCATCTGAAAATGTGTTATTTCTAGAATATAGTTGAGTTTGGGAATGGAGAACATGTGCAAGTGCAAATGCAAGTAACGTACGCACCGGCATAGAACAGGCAAGGCCACAGGTAGGGCAGCAGACGCATCCCTGTCAGATACCAACGCAAGCTCAGCGACGGGAAGCCAGTCTCCCAAAACTTCGTGATTCATACTTCCCTTCTGTCGAACGCATATCACGAATTCGCGCACATCACCATCTAGAATATGTTCAGACATCAAACGCGTGTACGCTTGTTCGGACCTTCTCAGCAATAACGCAGAATCAACAGCTGCACATAGGAATGCAAACCACCGCCACTCAGTTTCCACACCTCAGGCGTACCTCTTCAATCAATGCCAGTCCACTCAACAAATTCCAGTTAAAGCAACCATAAATACAAATCATTCTTACAGCGGACTAAACACGACAGAGTCCTTTCTTGCATGCTGACAAGCTTGACAAATTCAAGACCTCCGTAAGAATGAGGGGCTACTCACTAGGTTTTGGGACGGTTTTAGAACCAAAGCCACCCCCCGAGCTCGAAGCCTTCTTGTTAGACTTCTGTGCCTGACATGTAACGACAGAAAGGCCTATCCGGGGCCCAAAAACAGGCACAGAGGCAAGGCTAGGAGAAATCCTGACATGGTTTGAGCAAGAGCAAACGGACGAAATGGTGGTGCCTCCGAAAAGCCGGCTGGTGCTCACCGCCAGAGATTCCATCACTAACTGAGCCAGAAACAACGTCTCCACTCAGCCTTTCCGGCAACTCCAACCGCCAGAGATACAAACAATTAAACCCTCCTCGGGTCACAGAAATGCTACAACACTGCGTCTTCTCATGGTGGACAGAAACACAACCCGCAATGTTACACTGCGCAGGAAATCCCCCTACCCTAATTCCGAAAATTCTACCCCACTTCAATGCGCAACCAAAACCCAGAAACTCCTCTCCTCTTCAGAGAACAAGCAATTGAATTCAAGTGCGCAAATGTATCGTCAGAGACGATAAAACTGTCGCACCGAAGCTCCTCCGCGACCTGGCGAAGACAAAGCTTTCCTGGGAATTCCGCACAACAGAATAAGCCCGTAAACCTCCTTGTAAAAACATATCACCTAAGTTAGTTAGTGTATTTTGATTTTATTTTATTTTATTTCTTACACAAATAAGGTTCATCTAATGCATTGATTATAAAGAAAAGTATATGGCATTTAAGGACCTTGGAATGAGAAAATAAGGCAATCAATAAAGGACTGCCACTATTATTAGAGTACAAATTAAAGTATGTTAGATGTTAAGTTAGAGTCGACAACTATGCTACTATATAGATGAGTCAAATTCCACCTTATGGATATCAAGTGTCTAACACCTAACATATTTTTGGCCATTCATGTTTTATTCAAACTATAAAACAAGGCTTTATCATTATTAGTTTGCTTGTTTTATCTCTTTGTAAGCTATTGATTTAAATTGGTTGTTTTTTCATTTAAATTAATTTTTATTGTTAAGGATGTCCTTCCATTTTGTAGTAGCTAAGTTACAAGGTATTCTTTTATTTTATTTTTTGAATGAGTTATTTGTTAAGTTATACAACCAAAAAAATTGTTTTGTTCTTTTCAAGATAAAAAACTTGATTGACTTTACTCAAATTCATAAAAAAAAAAAAAAAAACAAACAAACAAAACAAAACAAAACAAAACAAAGACTATTTTAAATCTATAATTTATTTGTATAGAACTTTAAAAGTGGCCAACATCAATCCATATAGTAAGAATAAGTAAAGTTTTAAATCACATAGATGAAGAATCTTTATTATCTATTTGGAAACCATAGCCATCTAAACTTCTTTTGTATCAACAATGTAAAATCCACCAATCTTTAAAGTTTTACAACACATCTTCTGTAATCCTTGATGTTGTAAAATGTTAGCAATGCCAATTGGATCCCTTAAAATATTCTTTATTACAATCTACATGATCCATTTTTTTATAAGAGAGCCAACTCTTTCTATTAAATGGTTAATGAATAGAGAGATAAGAATGCATATTCTTCTTGTGTCCATACTATTTGAATTGTTGAGATATCTATGTGCCACCTCTAATATGTAAAATCTAACTTTTGGATAAAATTGATGGCCAAGATTTTGACCTCTTCATCCAAATAACTTGTATTCTTGGAACAAAATAATATCACATCTAAATATTATAAATATAATTTCTTAATTTTAGAATCTATAAGAGATTAATCAAGCCATAAATATTGCACTTAACAAAAGTAATTTTTATAAAATATTAGAGATAGAAAGATCACACTATATATCATAATTAAATTTGAGAAAATCTAATATATTTCTAATCCTTCAATAAAACATATTTTATTCTTCTTTTTCTTAACGTTAAAGAAGAAAACAAAGACAACACTTTAGAATATCATACATTTTTTTGTTTATAAAAAATTTAAATGTAAGATAATTAAGATAAAAAAAAAAAAAAATGGTTTGAATATGAACTAGCATATCTATAATGAGTGAATCTTGGTCTAAAAGTCTTTTTGTAAGTAGAAGATAAGAGACATCTTCTTTTATTTAAGATTTAAATACTAAAACTTTAATCAAGCTATCATTGGTTTTTAACAATCTTTCTATTCTGCATATAACAAAACTATAATTTTTTGTATTATATTGAAAGAAAAGATAATACATGAAAGTATAGAACCATTTCTATCATGTTAAGATTTAAATGTGTCCATCAATTATTCATCTAGAATATAATTGAGAGCCAAATTAACTTTAATAAACTAAAAAGATTGAGTCAAAGAGAAGTTGTCTTCTTTTATATTGTATGAAGATCGATATAGAGAGGCTCATAGTCCGTGTTAATTAGCTAACTTTGCCATTCAAGATAGATAGGAGCTATTAAAAGAAGATTTCTGGCCTTAGACGGTCCTTCTAATGTGTAGATTTCAACCATTCAATATTGATAATATCTCCATTACTGCACAGGTGTTTCGTATGCACACTTCCAGAGCCTGGTGATGAGCAGAAGAATGTCTTTGAATTACACTACATTCCACCGCTAAAATGCCTCCACGGGAACTGACCTATCCATGTTACTCTATTCAACTACAATACGAGGGAGAGAGATGTGAGATATTAGTAATATGTAATAGAAATAAACATATGTAAAAGAACTACTTAAGGGCATGAAGTAACATTCTTTCAAATTATACGATTTTTAGGCAACGCTGAGGTCTCTGGCCCTACTGACCTGGGCACAGAATGGTGAGATATGATAAGCAACACCAATCACCTGTATACGAAGCTTTATCGTTGGTAAAGCTTCGATCATTTTAGCTTCCAGTTTCGTGGCTTTCAGCATGGCCACCGGACTGATGTGCACAGTTAAGGGACCATGCAGTTAGCTCACTTCAAGCACTTTAGCAGGGTCATCCAGTGAGCCGTCAATTACAAATTGGCACCTCATCATTCCATGACCCACTTTCTCGTGCAGTAAGGCTACCCTCGGCTTCACAACTGATGAATAGGCAGCCACACTACACAAGACAGAAGCCTTTTGTTTCTCTTTAGCTGCACTGGAAGATTTCTTTACATCTTGTCCATTGGCTTCGGCGGTTGAGCTGGACGCCTTATAATTTCGTGCAGGAGTGTTACGGGCTCGTGGTTTGTGAAACAAAGTGAAATCCTCCTCGTCAACGTCTTCGTAAAAATCCTGGCTCTTCCTGGACTTCCCTCTACTTACCTTACGCGACCCTCTCTGCTTGAGCACCTCGTCGTCATCCCCAGCAGCAATTGGGTTTCCCCCTTCAGATTCGGGTGAATCTGGGTCAATGCAAGCCTTCTTCGATGAAGTATTCTCTTTTCCTACCTCGCTTCTTCCCCGTTGCTTCCGACCAGATAGCCGCGCAGGAGGACTGGCATCCTGAAAGCGGTTACTACCTCCTGCTCCATGGGCTTTGCGTGACATTTTATCAGGCTCCAGGTCCACAGGCTTCGCCTCAAACTCCGAGGTAATTCTGTTTGGCTCTTGATTTGAAACATTGGAATCAATGGGCTTCAAAGAGTTGACCGCATCAAGGGCGCTTAGTTTCTTACAGCCGCTCTCGTCAAAAATCTGAAAAGTAGAAACAAAATTTATATATAGTAACGTGCAAGAGGCATTAGTGGTGATCAATTGAAAGTTGTTTGGACAGGGATGATGAAAATAGACGTTTGACAGATATAATCAACGGGAATCTAATGCACACAGAAAGATTTACCGCATCTGGACAGAAAGGTTCAAGAGGAAGATGCAGACAGTATCATCGCGTTGCCAATCTCCAACATATTCAGAGAGAAAAAATAAGAAACCTATTGGGATCGGTAGCATACCTCAACTTGGAAATAAGAGTCTGTTTTGAGGGTGAATAAAAGCTGGTCTCCAAGCTGAAGATGATGATCCTTAACAAAATTCACCCAGCCCAACCTCAAACTGATGTTGTGTTTGGCAAACGAGCCTTCCACTGCAACAGTCCATTTATCTGTGCTCGGTCCTTCTATAGTAAGACTTGTACCAAGAGTTTTGATGTTCGCTTTAACGAAGGACGACGGAATTGGCTGGATTGGAAAGAATATGTACGTTAGTTCAACATCAGTCTAAGTATTCATTATTAAATGAAGAACGTGAGCAACACTATGAACCAAGGCATTGTTCAGTCAGCGATGTGTTTAATGCTCAAAAAGTAAACTGATGAAGAGGACTACATAAAATTCCCGGTACACCGACACACACGTGAGTAACACGCTACCTCAATCGACAACGAGCATGTCCAGCTCAATTCTGTAGATTCGTGTCAAAAACCCCAAAAACACTTCTGAAGTAGACGAAGGGACTGACACAGGTTAACAGTTACCATGCACTCGGTACTATCTAGGCCGATCCTCCTCAAAAAAGAAGGACTAAGAAAGGGGATGGCGTCACTGGTTTCGCCGCCACGTCCATGAACCCTCTCGCAGTGTGCTAGACAATCCGCACAAGCTTGCTTCTTCATTCTGACGGAGTAGCAATGAAAGCTGAGATGATTAAACGGGTCTGTTCCAAAACGACACGGCGTCAGCGGCAGTGACAATTGTGTTGAGTACAAAGTGTTTTATGCTGTCTATAAGGCACAACCTTGACACATTATCTTCATCAACAGAATAATAAGCCATCAAACAGATGCACATGAGAGGATCAGGGCTGGGTAATGACAGATGACGCCCACATGCTATCATGGATACTGAATGTGTAGAAATCGACCTAAAGCTGGGTTAATCAAACTTTCAAATCAAGACTGCACAATCCAACTCACATCGCTACAACCACAAAATAGGAGCAGCATTATCCCAAGGAGAACATGACGTACAACCCTAACACTCCACGGTGCACCCAACGCTACCAATACTCATCCCACAACCACCAAGCTCAATGCAGCAGAAGTTAGCTCTCCATGCGTTTCCATTGTAAAAACAAAAACATCTAATGGCCTGAGCCCACGAGCCAAACAAGCACACACATTATGGAAAGAAAAGAAATCAAATAAAAACAAACGCCCCAATTATCCCAGTATCCACCCTCGCCCACCCACAAATTCCACTGTGGAAAAGATATTGCCTCGCATGCTCTACATTCACAGACAACAGAACAGCTGCAAACCAAACCACAGCTCAGAAAAATGCCAGCCCAGCGCTCCAGCGAGGAATCAAGCGAGCTGAAGACGTGGAGTGTACTGCCTGGAAGAGATGCTCGAGGCTCACCCGATGCCGTCACAGCACAAATCAGCAGAGTTGCTGTTGCTGCTGCAGCAGCAGAATGCTCCCAGTGGAATGAATGTATGCGCCCCTCAATCCCGCAGGAGACGCGGCTCCTCAATTCCTCACGGATCCAGTGCAGAATGACAACGGTTGCGGAGCAGCAACATGCCGGCGACGAAAACGATGCGAGGAGATCACGGTGTGCCGCTCCCGATTGTGGCCGCGGGAATCGCCGAGGCGTGCTTGTTTGAACGGAGTGGCGCCGTATCACCGCGTGGCGGGAATTCTTCGCGGGTGATGAAACGTCCTCAAGGGCGGTAACTAAAAAAATTCCTTTGTAAGAAAACAATTGTATGGCAAAACATCACAAAAGTATAAGATGTATGTATAGAAGATATTCTCTAAAAAAAACATCTGAAATTACTTTATTTAGATTCAAATATATTCATTTAATATTCATTAGTCAAATTCTTAAAATAAAACATATGAGTACTACTAAAAATCTAATTTATTAAACTTTATGAATGATTTTGAGTTCAATTCTCCGGCAGATGATCATTTTCAAAACATTCTCAGTAAATAAACTCGGTTTTTGTTGCAGTAATATTTCCCATGCATACTTCTTGTATATCAGTAATATCCTTGCTTGTTGAGGATTAAAATTTTAACATTCATGTCATCTTTATATATATCATTACCCAAGAGTATGTTACGTTTATACCTTACAACATAATAATAAGATTCACACAAACAACCAAAAAAAATTGGGTATATGAGCCCATTAACGTTTTATTCCTATGAGCTAATCATCACTATTGTATAAACGGTGGTTGTTACCTATATAACTAATAGTAATAAATTTAAATACAGTAATTCTGTGCTGTTCACTTTGAACTTAAAGATTGAGTATTTATATAATTAGTGAATGGTTATACTAAATTCTGATAAACTATAATTTCGTTTTATTTTGTTTAAGATTTAAATATTTACTAAGTTTGTTTGAGATGATCAATTAGAGTCAATGATTTTTAAATGGCTAAAATAAAATAAAAAAATAAAAAATACTTCATTTGAAAAAGAGTTCAAGGCATAATTTTAAAAGTAAATTTGTGTTATTTGTCATAATTCATTTGAATATCTTTACATCAAGTACTTCTATGTATACATTTATTACACTATTACATAATTATGATATAATCAAGTTATTGATAATTTATGTGCTGATAGTTATGTGAATGATTTAACAATGTATTCTCATATATAAATCCTTAATATGATATTGTTAAAATTACTATTTCTGTGTAAAAATGAATTACACATTGTCAACTTAATTTAAATTGTAAGTATTAAGTCACTGTCCAAAAATTTAATACATAAACCCAATCCAATGAAGATGGTTTTGTTAAAATATTTTACTACTTCTAATTTGTCTATCTCTTCATCACTGCTTTGTGTTTTACAAAACAAGCATCAATTTTTTTTAAATGATATGTATATTAACTTTTTCTTTCTTTCTTTCTTACATTTTTTATTATTCATTTAAAGTAAATATGTGTAACTTTATAATCGTTTTTGTTTGTCTTGTTAACATACACAAAGGACAAATATTGATACTAGGTATAATTTACAAATAAGGTTTTAGAAACTTGGAGAACAATGAGGAAGACTTCAGAAGTTTGTGAAATATATTAAATTTCAAAACTACTTTTTAAAGTTCACAAAATGGAATAGAGATATCTAAATTGTTTTTAGAAGGCACTCAAAGCCATAGAGTTTAGTTTGTATCCTTGGTTAATAATCAATAACAACAGTTACTTAGTTCATAGTAAAATTTTACATCCTGATGATGTTAATTTGTTCTGTTCTGTTTAAATATATGCCAGACAACATGGTGTTTTTAATTACTTTTTGGAAAAGCTCATTACTCTAGCAATTTTAAGATTGCATTGGCTCAGGTCAAGGCTTTTGCATGGTTTAATATTATTATTGATTCAGCCTAATTTTCAATGCAACAAGGAAGATTTTTGTGGTCACATATTTGCTGTTTAATATTGAAATTTGGCAACAAGTCAATAATACTGTGAAGGAAATGGGCAAGTTGGGTTACAAGTGTTAGGGTTCAAATTGTATTAAAACGACTAATTAGTTTCAACAATGCACTTGAAAGTTTTGTTTCCTATTAAAAAACAGAATGCAGCGACAAATAACATCGGTAATATGAGCAAGAATTTGGAACTCATTCCATTTTTATGTATTTCATGGTGATAGAAAGAAGCATGTTATGGTCATGAAAATAAATGTTTTTATTATTTATTTTTTATGTGTGGCATTCTAATATTTTAATTAGGTTTCTGACCCTTTTTTAAATTTCTTCACAAACATTTATGCAAAGTAATAACATCTACGAGTTTAAGTTGAAGCAAAAACATTTGTCCCTAGGTAGGCAAATAGCAAGGATTGAAATCTTCCTTGAATACATGTTTTTAAATTCCAATTACAAATTGAGTGATGGGAATGATGGTGCACTTTGATACTTATGAGGTGGCAGATTTACCCTTAAAAGCTGTTGTATTTAACAATGAGAATTTCCTTGTATGCATACTTTTTAAACTAAAAAATATATTTCTTTGTCACCCTTTGGTTGCTCACATCACTCTTAGGTTATCAAAATAATTGGATACAACAATTGTTTTTTTTTGTAAAAAACTCATATTCTTGAGAACACATATTAATCCCCCCCCCCTCCATCTAGTGTAGGTATGATTTCTAAGAGGTCTTTAAAAAGAATTAGGATTAGAATTTATCTCCACATTGAGCACACTTAAATCAGTAAGTAAATATAATTTACATTTATCTCTACATTCAACACACTTAATTTAAAAGTAAATAGAATTTAGCAATTGGGTTTTATTCAATCCAGATTACTGATCATATTAGCAACCAAAAAAATCCGAAGTGAAAACTTTAATATTGTAAACTGTAAGAACAATGTTACATTGGTTTATATTGAACCATTTTTAATGAAAAATTACTTTAATATTATTTGAGAATATTTTAGGTATTCATAAATACAAATATTTTAATATTAACATCAAAGACCTATTTTTTTTAATGCTGAGTCAATGACATACATCAAATTGAAAATGGAGAACCATAAATTCAGTATTATACATATTACTCAGCTATTTTGATACTACATATTATATTTTAAATTTGTTTTTTATTTTTTAATTATAAACGAAATCCTCTGGCTATGTAATAAAAATGAATAAAATCCCAGTAATGTAACAAATAATAAATTTGTTTTAGTTTATCTGTATATTTGTGCGTATATATATATATATATATATATATATACACCATATTTTATAACTATTTATTTATTTTTTTTAAAATTTTATTTCAATAGAACCGTATCATTCAAGTAACACCACAGAATCTAAACAATTTGCTCTTACTTATGCATAATAATTGAAAGTGGGTCGGAGAGAGAGGCGAATATTTTGATCCAGATGGGAACCAACGCAAAGGTGGCCGCAGACGCCCGCGAGCGGCTGCAGGGGGCGTCAGAGACGGCCGCTTCAACCCGAGCCCGTGGGGAGGCCCACACTAACACCTCTGCCGTCAGATGCGGATCATCGAACGGCAAAAGAGAACCAATAGGTTTAGGGTTTTGCGGGGTAAGGCTCACACTTACATCACTGCGTCTCGCACCCTGGGCAGTTCTCTTTACCAGCGTCCTCCGTTGCTCTTCGCTCTCTTTCGCGCTCTCTCTCTCTCTCTCTCTCTCTCTCTCTCTCCCTCTTCTGCTTCGGGCGTCAGCACCGCTTACACCATGGTCCGTTGCACCTCTCACTCTGGTTTTTGCTTCCACATGATCTGTCGTGTGTGTTTCGATTCTGTTTTCCATGTGCTGCTGCAAGTCTCGTACAGTGGTGTTAACCTAAACTTCGTCGGTTTTTGCAGTCTGGAAAGAAGAAAGTCAGAGCCGAGAAGGAGGAGAATGTTACCCTCGGCCCGTCCGTGAGGGATGGAGAGCACGTTTTTGGTGTAGCCCACATCTTTGCGTCTTTCAATGATACATTCGTGGTACGCTCTCATTTTTTTCTTATTCTGTTGGGTATGGCGATGATGGATGATTATCAATATATGAATTCGTTTAGGTCATGTTAATACATGGGGAATGTTATGCAAGTAGGCTCTCTACTGTATTTTTCTTGATTCTCCGAGTGATAGTCGAGTTCGTTAGATACATTTGTTTTACTACATCATTGAATGAATGATTTACGGATGTTCACTATTGTACGTAATGTTGTATGCAGCATGTGACTGATCTCTCAGGAAAGGAGACAATCGCTCGTGTCACTGGTGAGCGTTCTCAGTCACATGCGCCGCCCTTTTAGGGTTGTCTTGCATCTGCGTAAAATATACCTCAACAGGGGGCGTTATGCACTACTTGTAGTTTCTCCACAGATGCTGGGTTGTAACTGGTGCTAAGTAATTTTCTTACGCAAGAGGATTTGTGAACATCACGAATTCCACCTCAACAATTCTGATCATGTTCACACACGGCTGCACAGGTGGCATGAAGGTTAAGGCCGACAGAGATGAGGCGTCCCCATACGCAGCTATGTTGGCAGCACAGGATGTAGCCCAAAGGTGCAAGGAGTTGGGTATCACCGCCCTGCACATCAAGCTTCGTGCTACCGGTGGAAATAAGACTAAGACTCCTGGACCTGGAGCCCAGTCTGCACTCCGCGCTTTGGCCCGTTCCGGGATGAGGATCGGACGCATTGGTGAGTTGCGTGAATGTGTTTCTTCTCTTTTATTTTGGATCGAGATTGATTTGGTCATGCTGCGCTCAAATTCTTGCTAACTCCGCTGCGTATGTGTTTTCGCAGAGGATGTTACGCCCATTCCAACCGACAGCACGAGGAGGAAGGGTGGACGCAGGGGACGTCGTCTCTAGATTATATGCTATTTCCTCGAAAGGGAGGAGTATATGGGCACTTGTGTTCGTGTCCTCTCTTCAGAGTTAAGGATGGTCAGCATATTGCTTGGATCCTCTTTTAGAATGTTCGAACTCAGTGAATCTTTTGCAGAAACTTCAATATGCATGTAATGCATTTTGTTTGGAAAGGGATTTAAGGCATCTAAGGCATCTTTGCATATGTGTGGTCACCATGGTTTTAGCTTGCTTTATATATTGTTCAATTAAGAAATCATTTCGCCATAATTTTATCATCTGCTTGCGAGTGTAAGGTATTGTCCCTCCCTTCTGGGACTGCATTATTTAGTGTTACCTTCCAGCTTGAACCCAGTGGTTTACTCACGTGAACTAATCTCTCAAATCACGTAGTGATCACCTTATTAAGTTTGTCATTGATATCCGATGCGATTCGACACAGATCTTTGTGTCCTCCTGCCTGTGTGGCGTTCAGTCTCTTAACCCTCACGGCATTGCATAATTGGTTTGTTTTAACATCAGTAGGGTGAATCTAATATTACGATGAGGTTTAATAATCTAATTGCCTGAACCAATCGCTGCGTTTACACGAAGGTTCATGTTTAAATTGTTTTCGCCGCGATTGTCGAAATCCATCAAATACAGATACAATGCGCAATCTCTGTGCCATCATTAATGTTGTTGCAGTCGAAAACTACATTCCCCAAGTCATTAATTAATAGACCCATCTTCCTAAACTAATGATCCGGGATCTTCCGAGGCTTAACATGGCACATATTGCAATTGTTTTCAATGTTGACCTCTACTGTCAATTAACCGTTTGTAAACAGACGCGCATGTTCGTCATAATGCTACACGCCTCTGGTCCTCTGAATACCCTCTACTGCCTATTCAGCCCGCATCTTCAACAACTTAGAAAACTTTTGGAATGCTTGCAACGTACCCATCCATGCTCTCCAGTGTAAATCCAATTCTGTTCACCTGAATGACGAACCCCTCCCGACTATAGGGACAGAGTCCACGCTTTGCTACAGATCTGAAACCCCTCCCCCTTGATTCGCCCCTGCTGCCCATATCCTACTATTTAGGGTTCGAGCTGCCGCCAAGCAGTTTTTGTGTCTAATCAATATAGTGGGCTTCTTTCGGACTAATTCATAGAAGATGACAATCGTGAATAGGGAACTAGGTACTTGCCAGAGACATTCGTCCATGTCAGTGGATGTTCGGTGACGGTCGTAGTTTCCCAATTTTCTCCACTCCTGTTCTGAAACTGCTTGTTGCGAGGGTTCTGGTCAGCACATGAAACGCTATCGCTCGCGGACTGGTTCCGTAGAGACGCAGAGAAGGAAGGCTACGCTGGGGCCTAAGTTTTTTCTCTGGAGGATCAAAATGGGGACCCCCTCGTCCTCTTCGTGGTCTGTCTTGCTCGCCATCGCTGCCGCAGCAGCGACAGTAGCAGTCTCCGCATTCTCAGGTTTGTGTTTCCACTCCTTTTGTCAATATGCCATCTCCACTCAGTTTTCCAGTCGTTGAACTTTTCTAGCTGATAAGATCAGCTGTATATAAGAAGGTGGATAATAGTGTTTAATGGGCTTTCGATGTCGCAGAGTGTAATGTGGTCCCTTAGTGCGGATTTCCTTCAGTCCTTTTTTTGGTAATGAACTCGTAGATTCTTAAAATACGGTTCAAAACTCCATATTCGTCTAGAAAGATCGCAGCGCTCTGTTTACCTTTATGCGTTTGATCAGCTACCTGTGCTTGACGAAATGATTTGTCTCTTTTCGGACTCTATTTCGACGAAGAAAATTGTTCCTCATCATGTCTCATTCTTTTTGCACTGTTTATCAGGTTTACTAGTGTTGTATGTGGTAAATCGAACAATTGTCATGGGCGTGAAGAGAATGTATTTGTTTAGAGTTAGTGTGAGGACTCGAAGCACTTCAGGAAGTCAGAGTTGCATCATCTAGAGGAACACGAAACTACTTGGAGGCCCAACATGGTGATTTTGTTTTTCTTGTTAATTAATGGGTTTTATGTTGTTAAACCTTAGAACACTAATCGAGCGAATGGAGACATCATTATTGTTTGAAGTGATAGTATTCAGAGTTCCCAAACTTTATTTTTTTTAGTATTTATTTGGTCAATACAAGCTACGTAGTTGCCTCGATCGTTTGTAAAGTCTGTGATATATTTAGTGTTAATGCTGAGAAGTAAAGGACATTCGAGCAGTGCAGGAATGGAAGAAGCTTTTGTCTCGTCGAATCGCAGAACTCGAGGAACAATTAGCTACAGCACACAAGCAGCGGCATGCTGAGCGCATGGGACGTATCAGAGGTCAACGGGTATGCTTCTTCTGTGTTCCACTTTTGTCTCACGTTCGCAGCCGATTTCGAAGGTCGTGTTTATGTCCGGTTCGTATGTTTCTTTTGCCCGTGCAACGCGCCTGATTTATGCACGGTCGTGTTATGTTTTCTGGGGTTTGTGTGATGAATTTCTTTCACTTCAATGTTTTCAATGCGGGTTTATTCTTTGGTTAACAAGTGCACACATGCTTTGGACAATTGCAGGAACTGCGGCAAGCACTACTGAATAGCAAAGACGAGAAGTCTGGCAATGCATCGTATCCTATGACACCAATTGGGCTTATTCGTTCATGTTTCTCCACAAGGTAATTTTGGTTTGACTTGCTGCATAATTATTCACGTACTTCCGGCAAGAAGATACTCAACTAAATTCTACTCCGTGAGTGCCTATGTTCCCAGCATAATATGATTGATCATTCGTCTTCGTTGACTATGCCTGACGGTCTCTCTATAGCTTTCTTTGCATTTCGTTCTGCTCATCGAGGTAACTTCTGTCTCTTGACTTGACCACTTCATTACTGTCGCCTTTGGTTATTGCAAAATGAACGTGGTCATTTAGACTCATGTTTCTTGCAGGAATGGCACTCCTCGTCAGCCAATGTTAGTGACTACCGCGAGAGCAAGTCTGGTCTTATCAAGTAAGAACGTCGCAGCCGAGGCCCTTGATGGTCTCTCACAGTACTCGCACTGCTGGCTTATATATGTATTTCATGAGAACACTGACCTACCTGGACTTTGGAAGCAGCCACCACACAAGGATTTTAAAGCCAAGGTAATTGGTGTATTTCTCTTGTAGATGATACCAGCAATTAAACTTCTCATCGCATTGAAAATAGGATGTTTGTACAGATATTTTGGCTATTTTTTTGAGGAATACTAATTTTGCGATGGGGCTGCTCCTTTATTAGAAAACTGAACCGCTCTTGGTTATGTCTATGGTACTGGTTGGTTGTAGAGGATATCAAGAGAGTGAACTTGGTTATCATAGTTGCTATCCTTTGATATTACTGATATGACACTAAGTACAGCAATTTTTAACTGTAGTCAGGTGCGGGTACCTCGACTGGATGGGGGCAAGATGGGAGTCTTTGCTACGCGTACCCCACATCGCCCATGCCCCATTGGCCTGACTGTTGCCAAAGTATGCTCTTGAATTAACTGCTTCTTTCGATTATTCGTATTGGAGCTTAACTTAGGGATGAAGAATATTTGGTCTTTCTTTTACCTATGGCTGCCACAACTTCGCTCCTGTATAGCTTCTGATGGTAGTGTAGTTGTAAGAAATAATGTTATGTGCCGGTGTACGAGAGTTTAAATAGAACGAGTAGTACATTGATAGTATCACAAGTTTTTGGAGAATCGTGTAGCATTTAGTATGATAAGATAATAAATGGGCCCGTAGGAGGACAATTACCAAGCACAGATAATATTTCGACTAATGGTTTTTATGTGTTGGTTTTGTGTAGGTTGAAGGCATCCAAGGAGCAACTTTACTTTTATCTGGAGCTGATTTAGTTGACGGCACGGTAATTCATACCTGACAATTCGTTTTAATGTGTTATGTCTGAAAGCCTCGTGAAGTAGGCTAATTGAATGAAATGCGCTAAATGCTATAATTTCACGATCCTTCAGTAGCGGATGTTAGAAGAGGTGAACTGTTGCATTGGCTATTATACTGCGGGTATTTATTTTGATACTGAACGCAATCATGGTGATCTGGTACATGTGCGACAGCCCGTCTTGGATATAAAGCCATACCTACCTTATTGCGATTCTGTTCCAGGTGCAATTGCACCCTCTTGGGTGAAGGTATTGATTTATTTATTTTTCAAGTCTTTTATTCCCACAAGTAATTATTTTGAATATATGGTTGCTATGTATGCTATCACATCTGATTGCATAATAGTTCTGTGAACAGTCATAACTCTATCAGTAACGGTGCAGGCTGGGGGAGATGACGACATCATTGCAATGGCATCGGTTGAATTTACAGAAGACTTCTGCCTTGATCTTGCAAAATGTTGGGACACGATGGTAAGTCTCTCCCTCAGGGTTGACCTATTCACGCTTAGCTTTCATCTAACATAATTGATATTATCTTCTTGCGAATGATATTCTAGGAGAAACATTATTAAGAAGTTCTATTCTATATTGGAGGTAGAATTATGAAGAGTAGCAGTCTATTCTCACAGCTATATTTTGTGCTAAGAACAACTGTCCAAGCATGCATCGCATTGGGTGAGAGATTTGGCCTTCAATTTTTGTCTTTGTCATCTGAAGTGTTCTAAACGCTGGTTAGTCAGCATCTCATTGACCAACATTTTGTGCGAATTATTGGGATCATTAAGAGCAACATTTATGTTTTGTTGCAGGGAAAATTGTCACTGTACTCAAGTTGGATGGAGTTTCAGGGGCTTGTCAAGCAAGTTTTGTCTCGTGACATACGTTCATTAAGTCAGCGTCAAAAGCCTCATAATGCCATCTTGAGTGCATTAAATGAGCAATATCTCAACGCTCCTAAAGATACTAGTTCTGACCCCTTGCAACAAGCATTAGAAAATGCCGAAAACTTTGATCAAACTAGTGTGTACGCTGGTGCTGATCAGTCTGTACTAATTGATGATAAGACCGAGGATGCTGAAACGAGCACGTTTGAAAAGATCGAGAGGGATGACAAGGTAGTATACCATTTAGTGTTGGAGGGTGTGGACATTTCATACACACTGCTAGAGGATGGTAAGGTTTTAATTGAAGGAGCATCACTAACGAAGGTGTTGAAGCCTCCTGCTTCTCGTGATTTTGATCCTCGAAATTGGAGGCACTTGTTTTCCAACGAGGCATAGAATATTTCAAACTTTAAGCTTACATTGCTGGTTTCCTTGCAATATTAAGGATATATCGATTTTTGCTGTCTAAGTCCATATAATTTGCTATATTATCTATCGTCTAACAGACTCGGACTTAGGTTTACATGGACTGCGTTTCTTTGCTTTCTCTCCGAGATATGATGACGTTTGTACCAAGTTTTTTCTATCTAAATGTTATTATTTGGTAGGTTTTTTGCTTGTTGTAGTGATTCTGTGTGTTTTATTTGTTGAGCGTCAGCGCTTTTAGTTTCTGGTGAGATTTGTGTAATGCCAAGAAACTCTCTGTGTGCAATAGTTAGTTGACATTTGCTTGAACTGGTATTAGTTTTGTATATGTTCAAAGTATCGAAGTGTCCAAACAGGGCAAAAGACAACACTCCCTTGGTCGACACAAGAAACCAATCGTAGTTGACAAAGACAGTGTTGTACTAAAACCAAAGCGCTGTAAAGCAATAGTTCACAACTATACACTACACAAAAAACAATGTGAACACTTTGCAAAGCCAGGCTCATCTTTCTGTGGTATTCATAGAAACTATCGTCCCAATGGTCTGAATGCAGTTCCTGAAGCATTTGGTACCTTGCATGACAGAGATGAGTCTATAAGAAAGATTTGTGAAGCTCAGCCTCATCTTGACAGACTGAAAGAGAAAGGAGTGAAAATACCTATACCTGCTGATTGTGTGGCAGTACCATCTACTCATCCAGATATGTCGAAAGGGGTAGAGAGAACTTGTCTAGAGAGATGAAGCAGGAGGTTGCAGAGCTGAGAGTAGTTGTGAAGATGAAAGAAGAAGAAGAAGAGAAGGAAACAGAAGCACTCCTTGATCAACCTCCTACTGAAGAACAGATAAGAGAAGTTGAAGAATCAGGAATGATTCCTTATGTGTATAAAAAGTGGGGTATAAAGTGCAGAATGGTCAATGAGAGAATGTATCCTATACTACCAAGTGGCTGTGTTGAAGAAGCATGGAATGCCATACGAGCGATGACAACACAAGAGAAGTATGATTCACTCAAAGAGTACCAAGAAAAGCATCCTCATATTCATGAATGGAGAACCATAATGTCTGTTGGTAGTTATTGTGAGAAAAGAGAAGACTATAGAGCCTCGCCTAATCATGAGTACAACGAAAGATATGAATTAACTATAAATGGAGGAGTACCATTAACAGATAAACAGAAGATGGATCCTATTGGACTCAAGATGAGAGCACATAAAGTATATCTAAAGGAACGAGGACTTCCATATGTACCATCAGATGTCCCAGCTAAGATACCTAATGAAATATTAGAAGAGAACATGAGAAAGAGTAAGAGATACTTTGGTATGTAGGTATACTAAGGTGTCATAGAATAATGTATATATTGTTTTATTATATGTTTTTTTTGACTATATAAGTTTCTTCTCCTACAATGATAATTACATTTGCGTGTGATGTTTGTAAACTCCACCTAATTGTTTTGTAGCTCCCATCTATTTTTTTGCTATTTATGTTTTAAATCAATTGCAAAACAATGCTTTATTATTATTAAGTTATTTTTCTAGTTTGTTGCATATAACTTTCTATAATTATATTTTGTAATTGAAGAGAATTGAGAACTTATAATTGAGTATTATTTTACTCTTCTTTCTCAAAGAAAGTACTTTTTTTTACAAACAAATAAATATACACATTAGAAGAGAGACAAAGTAGTTTTGAATCTTATGATCTAATATAGTTGTTTTCATCAAAAATTATTTGTTTTTATGAGAAGACTTTCTAAGGTCTATATTTGCTAAGACTTGTACTGATTATATATATATATATAGAGAGAGATAGATATAAGAAGTTTTTTAGTTCTGTAAATATTTGGTTTGAAAAAAATCCCTAATGTATTTGTACACAATGATTTCTAATTGATACAAAACACATAATTTGAACAATTCAAAGGACTCATGGCTGGCTTGAGTTCTTCATATATTTAGGAAACTACTAGATGGAATATGTTCCTTTTATTGTGTGGATATTCTAATATGCCACTCCTTTGAAAATATATATATAATAATTTTTTTATTTATTATAAAAAAATTTTAAAAAAATTTATAATAGAAGATTCTATAAATAAAACTATTAAGTATTTTAAAGTGAATAAATGAATTATGTGAATTATATTATGAATTTTTTAAAATTTAATTTATTTTTTTTAATAAATTATATATAGTTTTATTTAAGACTATAATTGAAGTTAAAAATTATTCTATATAAATTCTTTGTGGTTTAATTTTAAATATATAATTTATAAAAATATCTCTAGTAACTAAGATATTTAAGATATAATTAGTAGATATTACTATTTTATTAAGCTTTTTAGATTGGATATCTTGTTTTTACTTTTATTTAAAATAAATAATCTTATATATTAAATAAACATATTGCTAGTATTTAGTAAACTAAGTAATTACTTTACATTATAAAATTATAATTTTTTGCTATTTATTGTACTTTCATTCTTAATGGTTGTTGTAGTAATAAGATCTTATTATAAAATAGAACTTCTAATAAATTTTGTGGACCAAAAAAATTAACATAGTTACTTGGAAATTAATTGATAGAGGTTTATATTTTTGGTTTACTTTTTATCCAAATCTTTGTTTATTCTATTTGTACATATGGAATCTAAATTTACATGTTCAAATAGATAAATATTTTTATTTCATATTTGACATGTTTTGTGTTTTCAATTTGTTTGTGAACAATATTTATAATTATGCAAGCTTAAAATTTATATGTTGTTATTGAGATTACTACGTGTTCATTGCGCGTTTTTGAATTGATGTATGGAAGAAAGATAATGTGCATACAACTTAACTAATCAACTTGCTTAATATTTGAGGTCGTTGTCCCATATGCTTATATTTTAAAAAACAAGAGAATAAACTATTAAAATCAAAATGGGCCATGGTTTGCTGAGTATGGTGTTGACTTTGTAAACAAGAGCATGTAAGCAGAAAGCTCTGTATACTTTGTGATATGCTATTTGAGATTTTGTATCTCTTCAGAATGTTTAGAAAGATACAAGAATAATAGTAAATAATACACACACACAAGAGTAGTAGTAAGTCATACACATAAGAGGGTTTCTAAGAAGAAAGAGCTTCAAACATAAAAATCTATTGATCTAGTTGTGTCTCGTATACAAGAAAAAAAGGGAGAGAGGATAAACAATACTTCTCCACTAGATTCTAAATACTATAGCTATAGTATTTATTGTAGTCTACAGTAAATATTATGGAGAGTACCAGCTACATTTAATGCTCTCAACATTCTTCTTTGCTCATCATAATATTTACATAATATAGAATTTGTATAGAATTATGATCTATACTTTTCTGTGATCTTGCAAGATCAACAATTGTTGCCTCCTTAAAACCTTATTTAAGAAAATCTTATTGTATTTAAGGACAAAACCATAGATGAAGGAAAAAGAATACAATATCATTTTTCTTAATTGTTTAAAGAGCTCATTAACTTTCTTATTCAAGAAAAGCAAGTCATCGCATACCAATGCCATAAATAATTCAACGATGGTTGCACAATGGCAGAACTTTGGTGAAGAGATCAACAAGGTTATTTGTAGATTTAGTTTTCTTAATTATACATGCTTGATTAGTAATCAAGTCATGAATATAACTAAAATACTTTAAATCAATATGCTTTGTCCTGACGTTTTTAATGAAACCAACTTACATATGTGTAATATAAGTACTATTATCTTCATACAAGATAGTTGGAGAATCATCATATGAAAATCCAAAGGTTGTTTGGATGAATTTATCAATTGATTACAACCAAATACATCCTCAAGATGCTTCATGTAAGGCAATAATTTTTGCATGGTTGGATGAAGTTGCAGTTATTATTTGTTTCACTGATTTCTATGATATTGCAGCTTCATGTCTTAAAAATACATATCTTGTTTGAGATTTAGGTGTTGCAATATCAGATTTATATCTTGTATCATAGTATCCAACCAATTTTAGATCTGCAGATTGTGTGTAGTATAATCCCAAGTCTTCGGTACCTTTTAAATAATATAATAAATATTTGATGCCATTCTAATATCGTGGTGTTGGATGTGCACTATGTCTTGCAAGAACACTAACTGCAAATACAATATCTAGTCTTGTAGATGTAGCTAAATACAAAAGTGCTCCAACCGCTATAAGGTATGGATATTGATCTCCCAATATTTCTTCCTCCTCCTTACATGGACGATATAAATCATGACTATCATGACCATGTCCAACCATTGGTGTGGACAATGGTAAGCATCAATCATATTAAATCTTTATAAGATTCGTCTAATATATATTAGTTGATAGAGAAAAATACTACCAACTGTTAGATGCATAATCTGAAGACCAATGCAAAAAGTTATTTTTCCTAGCATTTTCATTTCAAATTCACATATAAATAGGTTAGTTGCTGTAACATATGCAGATGTAGTGCCCACTAAGTTAAGATCATCAACATATATAACGATGATCACAAAATCAATTTTATCTTGTTTAATAAATAAACAAGTGATTAGTAGATATTTTACAAACTTATTTGTAATTAAATAATCTCAAAGACGCTGATACCACATGCGTCCAGATTATTTTAAATCATACAAGGCCTTACATAATTTAATTCCACAATATTGTCCTAGAGTGGGTCCATTTGGAATTCTTATTTCTAAGCCACATGGAACTTTCATATAAATATTTGCATCAAGAGAAGTATATAGATATGCAGTTACTACATCCATCAAATACATCTCAAGGGTGGCATGAATTGTCATTCCAATAATATATCAAAATATTATTGAATCCATGATTGGAAAATGTGTAGATTCATAATCAATGCCAAATCGTTGAGCAAATCCTTGAGCAACAAGACAAACTTTATAGTGGGTTATTTGACCTTGAGTATTTCGTTTATATATTAATACCATCTTATATCTCATAGGGCAAGATGTAAGAGAGTCTACAATTGGATCAAAGACTTTCTTCTTATGCAAAGAGGCATACTCCTCCTCAATAGTA